TACCAATAGGAAAAATAAGCCAGAGGAAAACCTAGAAATAACAAATTAATGCAATAGGGGAAAAAGAAGATAAAATGAGAAACAGAATACCAAATAAGTAACTGAAAGTAGAAAGTAAATAACAACTGGGACGAAATGGCTTATACAACATAGAGAACCCTAAATCTGTTGCAAAAATGGCATAAGGTTGAAGTCAAATTAGATGACAAAAAATTAAATAATTTTGATATTAAACAATCTGTTTTTTTGCTTTTTTAAAGTTACAAATTAGAGATCGTAGTATTGCAATAAAGTATGACTTGTAAAAATAAAACCTTATGTACTCTAAATGTAAGTTAAAACTGGAGGCACGGGGTCACAGCCGCGACGGAGAGGTCCCTGTGGGCTCTTTCTACCTACCCCAACAAGTTTACCCTCTTGCTAGCACACCCTCGTTTATTGTTGCTTTGCTCCCTTTTCAAGCCACTTCCATACAACTTTTAATTCTTTTTAATTTCTTTTCAGAAATTGAAAATGATATGGCACGCTGAACCGTGAACTTAGTTCGTCTCTTACCATATGCTGAGATTAGTGAGTGATGAATTTATAGCATAAGTTTATAGAAATAAGCACAAAAAAGTGGTTTGTATAATGTTAAATATGTTAAGTTTTTATTTTCTGTAGATTTTATAAAATATTTCAAAACCTGAAAGATGTATATTATTATTTTTTGTTTATTTTACATTAGTAATACTACGAAACACAAATAAAAATGATTACAAGGTGCTGCAAAGATTTTGATGTCTAAAAACAAAAGTGTTTTTCCAGAGTATTTTTTGGCGCTCAATTCAAATCCGTTGAGATTTTTCCTATCACTAATAGTTTTTTTTGCTATAAGATTACATAAATATGCATTTTTAGAAATGTGACCGAAAGTTTCGTCATCTGGTGATAAAATTGTTGTGACTTTTGCAAAAATATAAATGTTTATGAGTGTAATAGGTAATTATTTCAAAGTATTGATAAAGTACCTACTCGACGGCCAAGTTTATCTGCATACATTTGCCAACTCTGTTAATTATGGCAAGAAGTATTGGCCTTCCAATGACAGAAACCACGTCAGTTTCAATTCTACTGTCATGTTATACGAACACGACATCAAACGAACGACATGACGATTATTCGTTATAACATGAATCAATCTCGGAGATCATGTGTATAAGTAATGGATTTTGACAAGAGCTATGACCTGTAAATAGGTAAACATGTGTACTGCATCGACATGACTCATAGCTCTTGTCAAAATCCATTATCTCTAAATAGTCCTAATGGTTTTTCTTATCCTCGTGGGTGTTTTGTGGTTGTAAAACAGAGACAACATATTACCAAATTTGTAGAAAATGTGTACTTTTCATATTTTGGTGTAAAACTTGGCGATCAAGACAAGGTATGGGCCTCTCATACTGTTTGTGTCGAGGCATTGCAACTATGGTTAACAGGTAAAAAGAAAGCTATGTCCTTTGAAATGCCAATGGTCTGGAGAGAACCATCAAATCATGTGGATAATTGTTCCTTTTGTCTGACTAATATATGTCGCTACTCAGTTAAGATCAAAAAAGATCTATTGTTTATCCTAACTTACCTTCTGCCATCAGACCAGTAGCTCATAGCGACACTATACCTGTTCCTGCTACTCCTAGTATTCTAAAATATGTTAGTGATGACTGTTACTGTGAACGTAGTGACAATAAAAACAATGTATGTGATGAGAAATGTGAACCTGATGAAAATCGCTCACTTAAACTTTTTACTTAAGAAGAATTAAATGATGTTGTTAGAGATTTAAATCTCCCAAAGGATGCAGCAGAAGTTCTTAGATCCAGATTAAAATCAAAAAATCTCCTTGCGACGAGTGTCACTTTCTGTTGGTATCGTCATTGCGAACTTGTTCCTTACTTTCAAGAAAGAGATGCAATGATTTTCTCTTATAACATACAATCAGTGATGGAATATTTTGGAATTGACTGTAAACCTGCTGAATAAAGAACCTTTATAGATTCAGCAAAAATCTAGTTTGGAAGTTGTTTATTTAAATAATGGAGACAAATATGTTTCAATTGCAATAGCTCACTCCTTTCATTTAAAAGAAACGTGCGACAATGTAAAAATTCTCTAGGAAAATATTGAATATGAGAAAAAACTGGTTAGTTTGTAGAAATTTCAAAATTATCGTTATTTTGTAGGTTTGCAAAGTGGATTTACTAAATGTCCTCAAAGGTCCTCAAATTCGCCAACTAATGATCGACATTGACGTTGAAAAATACATGAATACTAAGGGAAAAAAGCATGCAGAAGCTTTAACTCAGTTGTTAAGGTGTTTCTTGATAAATAAAATAATCCCAATTACAAAGAAAAAGTCAATGGCTTGTTAAGAAGTTTTCAAAAACCTAGGTTGTCTTATAAGTGTAAAACATTATTCCAATTAAGATAAGCTGCTTCTTCCTAGATTCGCTTAACCAGTGACGCCCATCCACTTACTTATTTAGGTGTCTAGAACTTCCGAAGTTGATTTTTGTTCTACATTGATTAAATGTCTACCTATCATCATCAATCAGCCAATCGCGTTCGCTGCTGGACATAGGCCTCCCTCAGTTCTTTCCAGTGTTCTCTACACTGGGCCGCTTGTAGCCAATTTCCCGCTACACGTTTTATATCATCGGTCCATCTAGTCGGTGGTCGTCCTCGGCTTTTTTTATAGTTTCTGGGCCTCCATTCCATAATACGTCTTGTCCACCGTCCATCTTGTACTCTGGCTAAGTGTGCCCTGCCCAGTTCCACTTAAGCGACGTGGTTCTTTCGATGACGTCTTGAACTCCTGATCTTTTCCTAATTTGTTGGTTTGTTATGTGGTCTCGAAGGCTCACGTTCAGCTTTGCAAGGTCCATGGCTCGTTGTGTAACTCTCAGTTTATTCGCAGATTTTTGCGTGAGTGTTAAAGTCTCTGCTCCATAAGTTTGTACAGGTAAAACACATTGGTTATAAACCTTTCGCTTGAGACACATGGGAATTGAACTTTTTAGAATATGACTTAATTTGCCAAATGCTGCCCAAGTTAGGCCTATTCGCCTCTGTATTTCATGTGTTTGATTGTCTCTGCTTATTTTGATTCCGTGTCCCAGATATTTGTAAGTGTCTGTTTGTTGTATGGTATTATTGTCAATAGTTATATTTCCACTATTGGAAATATAAAAAATGTCTACCTATGACGGTGGTAAAATCATGCATTTATTATCAGCATTGAAAGTCTTACTTGTTCCAGCACTACATTCATCAGTTTCAGTTTTTTTTATGCTGGTTGATTCTAAACGAAACAAGACTTTAGTTATTCAAAACCATTTTGAGAATTATTAAACATTTTTTCAAACGAATGTTATGACTACTATAAGGTTATTGTCAAAGTGAAGCAACCTTTTTAATGACAAGCTTGAGTTATAGATGACAAAATTAAAGAAAACGCAAAGAAAGCGCAATATTTTATTTAATAAGTCATAACTTTGAAACAAAACGATATATCAAAATCATTTAAAACACAATGAATCGAAAATAGACCAAACTTGTATTACCAATATGGATTTAGACCGGGCTACTCTACTATTGACCACATATTCACAATAAAACAGATAATAGAAAATGCTCGGAGTTTAATTGTGAGCTTCTTCAGATGTTCATAGATTTTAAACAGGCATTTGATAGAGTACGCAGAGTTAGACTGTGGACAGCGATGCAAGACCTAAGGTTTCCAAAAAAAAACTAGTCAAGTTGATACAAATGTGTATGAAAGGGTTAGCAGTTCAAAAGTTAAAAAACCGATTATAGTATCCAATCAAGAAGAATTAAACGTACTGTTGATATTTGTAGATGACATCGATCTGATAGGAAACACCAGATTAAGGATGAAGGATACTTTCGTCAGGCTCGAGAAGGAAGCAGAGAACATGGGGCTCCTAATCAATGAAAACAAAACTAAATTTATGCATGAGCCGCAATAACTGAAACGTAGAAAGAATCGGATAGAACATTACCATCGACGAGTTTAACTTTGAGCGCGTCAGAGAATTTAAGTGTCTTGCAACAACAATAACTGAAGGCAATAACGGATCACAAGAAATAACCAATAGGTACATAAGCTGGAAACATATGTCTTCATGTTAGACCGGATATAACATTTTTAAAATTCTGTAAAACAGTCATATGATCCGTAGTGATCTATGGTAGCGAAACGTGGACAATAACAAAGGAAAACGAAGAGCTAATACGTGTTTGGGAAATAAAAACGCTAAGGAAGATCTTTGGGCCTATGCCTACAATATGGGATAAAAACTAAGAAAGAGCTAGAAGAACTATATCCAAACGCTAACATAAAAGAAAAGTCCAAAAGTCTCCAGTGGGTAGGACACCTAAGAAGACATTCTGACGAAAGAATAGTAAGGCTGGTGTGGGAAAAAGCCTCAACTGGAAAAAGACCACATGGACGTCCTAGACCTCGGTGCGACATAATATAGCAGATGACCTTAAAGCTATGGCGTGGTGAATTGGATGGAGATTGCTCAAGACAGAAACGAATGGAGGCATGTTGTCAAGTCGGCTAAAACCCACGAAGGATTGTAATGCGACGGAGTAAGTAACATTTTAATGGCCACTTTTTACGAATCTAGATGTACTATCTAGATTGTATTCTATTTATAATGTTGCTTTTTACAATGATCAACTCAAAAAGCAAGAATGTTTTGATCATAAGGCTAGCTGATAGAGATAGGGAGTTTTTGAAACCCAACTTGATCAGTAAAATAGTTTAACATTAACTATTTTACCCACTTTTCCTTAATTTTGACCTCTTCTGTACTATCTATGCAAAATCTGATATATCTGGAAGAAATAGTTATTACAAAATATTCAGATAACCTGTCAGGTTTTGGTATCACTAAATAGTTAAGCAATAAATAATAAACATATAGCCTCACCTTATCACATAATTTACACAAATAATGTTTTGTTCTTCTGCGTTTTTCGAATTACATACTACAGTGGCACACGTTTGTATCCAGGTGTATCCACCAGTTTTGTTCATTATCCTATAATAGTGTGTAAGCACTTGTCCTTTATTGATTACTGTAAAAAGAAAGATATTTTAAGAAATACATACTGTTCTTAAAATTGAAAAAGTAGCAGTTTTGGTGATAATTAAGAGGTAAGTATTTAATTTGTTAACTATTTTGATTTTAAACGAACTGGTATTAAACCTTACAAAGATGGACAAACCTTATCTATAGATATGGACAAAGTTTATTGTTCAGTTTGTGGCAAAATTGTAAGTACTAAATATTTATTCCTACTTTTCAAGATTTGATTTTTTTTTCTTCGCGTGCCATATCAGAATTATCCGACGTTGGCGATGACCATTGCGAAGGCTTCTCGATCTTCTGCAATATGGAATAATGGACCACAGGAGTGATGACGTAGATTTGATTGACATCTGCCAGTTTCACTTTCCAAACAAACCTTGTTTAGTGTGGATAATTTGTATTTTTCGTTATTTTTTTATTTATTTTATCGAATCTTTCCGCTTTTTGCAATATTTAAGTATTCTTATAGTTACTACAACAATTTTACAAGGTTGTGTAAATAATAAAGCACATTGTTTTATGCTAATAGGAATAAAATGAAAGTATCAATAAAGTAAGGTTAAAATTTCTTTAATTAATCTTTTAAACCATATTTCATAGAAATAGAACTCTGAATTGTGATGGTATTATCGTAAAAAACACTATACTTACAAGAAAAAGCAGCAGAGGAAGCAAAATGTTAAGTTTATAGGAATTAAAAGTCTTGAGATTTGACATTTCAACGTTTGTTTGGAAAGTAATAATGACAATGTGACGTCACACTCCTGCGGTCCATTGTCCTGCATTTGGTATCTGAGTCAATTCACGAATGTTTTTAACCAAGAAACTTGTTTTCTTGATACACCTCTACGACCCTACATTTTACGTTTAAGGATCAGTTGTAATATTTTATATCGACTTCCCCTTACTATATATGTTCCAGATAAGACATTTTCCGATGTTTAACAGTCTTAAGCAGTTCTTTATCTTTGTTGACCCTCCTTAGTTTTTCTTCATTAGTTTTCCTCGCTGTCCAAGGTATCTTCAGCATTCGTCGATGAACCTACAATGCTTAAATTTTGTTCATGATCGATACTTTTAGCGTCCACACTTCTGCGCTATATAAATGTACGGTCTAAACATAGTTTAGAATTAAGACAAAGAATGGTTAAATGCTATGTTTTTTCCGTACTTTTATATAGTGCAGATGTGTGGACACTAAAAGTATCGATCATGAACAAAACTGAAGTATTGTAGGTTCATCGAAGAATGCTGAAGGTACCTTGGACAGAGAGGAAAACTAATGAAGAAGTAATAAGGAGGGTCAACAAAGATAAAGAACTCAGTTTAGAATTAAGAGAAAGAATGGTTAAGTGCTGAGATGGTTATTGCAAAGAAATGACTTTATTTTCATAAAAGTGGTTTTAGTCATTGCTATTCTACTTTTTATTTCTATGTCTGGTAGTAGTTCCGTTATCACAGTTCCCAAATATATCATTTTGTGAACTTTCTCAACTTGGACTCCGTTTAATTGAAGCTTTGCATCTGGATGTGGGTCACAACTAAACACTAAAAATTTGGTTTTGTTTGAGATTATTTTAATGTCCATTTCCTCTCCTACCTCGTGAATAGGATCAAGCAGAATTTGGATACCATCAATATTATCTGACATAATTACTGTATCGTCTGCATATCTAATCATATTAAGTAGTTCCCCGTTGATTTTTATTCCATATGGTTGTCTCTCAAGTGCCTTTTTAAATAACTAGTCCGAGTAAACATTGAACAATGTTGGCGACAAAATGCAACGTTGTCTGACTCCTCGTTGTATGGAGATTTCATCGGTGTAGTTATCTCCAATTTTTACGAGAGAAGTTTGATTCCAGTACAAATTTTTTTAATGACCCGAATATTCTTGTCATCTATTCCGATATTTTTCAGTATTTGGATTAATTTTACATGCTGTACTTTATCGAATGCCTTTTTAAGTCCACGAAACATGCAAATACATCTTGTCTTTCGTCACGTCATTTTTAAATAGGATTTTAAACGCAAAAGGGCTCTGTCTGGCTCCCATAGCATTTCTAAAACCAAATTAAGTATCTTCGAGATATTTTTCGCACTTGCGTCTAAATCTGTTGTAAAGTATTCTTAGGAAAATTTTAAGAGTGTGGCTCATTAGGCTAATTAATCGATATTCTGAGCATTTTCTCGCATTGTTTTAAGTCTTACTACTACTTTTATGTTATCATCCTCTATATATCTATATATCATCCTCTGATACAACAACTCAGTTGGTGTATCATCTGGACCACAAGCTTTTCTAATTTTAGCATTATTTATAGCGTGTTCTACCTCGCATTTCATAATTTCTTGGCCGTGAGTACAGTTTTGGTAGAATTCGGCAATATTATTCCTGTCATCTTCAAACAACTCTACCATTCGTTTCTTATTTCGTGCTCATTTACAATAATTTTGTTATTATTTCCAAAGAGTACAGAAGGAACTCTTTTTTTTTTAAATATGTTACTCATTTCTTTTCGTCATTTCGTCGCACCTTTCGCTCATCCATTTATCTTTGACTAATTTGATCTCCTTCTTTATTCTTCTCTGCAGGTGTCTATATCCTCTGTCATTAGATTTGATTAGTCGACGTTGTTTCATTAATTTCAAGATGTCGTCTGTCATCCATTTATTTTTCTTGATTAAGTTTTTTCTGTAATCATTGTTTGTGAACATTTCGTTACCTTGGTTTTTAAATTCACTCCATATTTCTTCTGGATCTTCTAGTTGTTCTCCGATGTTTTTTATTCTATTGTTAAATTTTTTTAATGTTATGTTTTATGTTTATATCTTCAAAGTTAAGTACATTGGTTTTTGGGTTTTGCTGCTGAATTCATTTTAACATTAGTTTAATATCTGCTACAAGTGGCTGATGATCAGATTCAATATCTGCCTCAGGAAATGTAGTGACTTTTTTGACGGTATTTCGGAAACGCTCATTTACAAGTATATAGTCTATTTGATTTCTTGGAGACTTAGGGTTATTGCCATCATCAAATGGGGCTTTTCAAGTATATAGTCGTGGCTTGGGTAGTTTATACCAGGTGTTTGCAATGATCATATCGTTTTCTTTACAAAATTCATACAATCTCTGTCCTCGATCGTTAGGTTGTCCTAAACCATAAGGACCTACAGTCTGACAAGCAAGCAAGCAATTTGATTAAACCCAGCCTATTAGAAATGTTCACCCAGGTAGTACGATCGGGTGTAACAATTCATTGGAGCAAGGTGTGTTAACTCGAGTAAAAACAGGAGTCACCCCACCGTGCTCCAATGCTCTAGACCATCCCTTTCCCCCCTATAGCAATCTGATTCGCTATAGAGGCACAACAATCAGCCAAATGCTCTTCATGTGGAGGTCCTGGGTAATAGAACCCCAACATGGTTTCCTAACCGAATGTAAAAACTCAGGACAGCGCATCTCCGCTTTATTCCTGTTATCTTAATATAGCTTATCCGCGAACTAAAATTGCTTACTTGGGCCTCAAGTCTCCGCTCTGAGTCCCGGCTCAGTTCGGCGACTTGGTGCTTAAGAGGGTTGGGCCCTACGTGCCCGGGTTTTTGGTTTTTGTTAGTTATTTTGGTGGCCGAAGCCGGTTTTTGTTAGTATTTTTTGATTTTTTTGGTGGCCGAAGCCGGTTTTTTGTGTTTTTTGTAATTTTTTTTGTTACAGTCTGACCTCGTCGACTTTCCCCAATTTTTGCATTGAAGTCGCCTATAATATATAAAAATTTCGTGTTTCTATATTTGACATGTTATTTAAAATATTTTAATGCTGGCATAAATTAAGGTTAATAAAACGGAAATAATATAAATAAATTTTAATATAATACCAATACTTATTTATGTATATTTTAGTATAAAATAAATATTTGTACTATTGCTAAAATATCAGTAACTGCCATGCAATAATCGTGCAGTTACTTAAGTGGAATTTCTTTTATTGATGCCTTTAGTTTAAAATTATAATGAAATCGGTTCTAACTGTAGTTATTTATGTTAAAAAATCTGTTATAGTTTGCATGAGAAAAGACATTTCAAATATATCAACATGTCAGAACTGCGTCACATTTCGCCAAAAAAGACAACACTAAATCTGGAGAAAAATGTCAAGCTTCGGTTTCATAAGTCTTTTCGGTCAAGTTCAAAACAAGGAAACACACAAGAAACTTTTAATGAAGACTTGTGCGTGCATTAATCTCTTCAAATATACTGCTTTTAAAATTATCTAATGAAAACTTAATTTCTTTTTAAAAAAATATTGTTAATTGAATATTTCAAATGAAATGACTCCAATATAAAAAATGTCATTTGTATAATTATGGCTGTAGTCCACAAGCTCAAAAGTGTAAAGGTGGGAAATTATCGATATTCCTAATGTAATATAATGTAAATTATAGGTTTCTATCGATAATTTCCAACCTCTACTAGTTTTATCTCTTTTTAGTTCACAGCGTGTTATATTTTCTATCTTTTGCGTTATTTTGTCAGTTCTTAAGGCGCTCATCACTGTATAAAGTAAAGATAAGAACTTTTGCTACTGTGTATTACAGTACAATATAGTACGCAGTATCAAAAGATATTTAATTTGAACTAGCTAAAGCTGTAGGCATATAAGAATATTTGTTAAATTTTGGATTTAATACATTACAACTGAATCAAAATAACAATCCAAACTGTGGATTTGCATCGAGAAAATCAAAGAAAATTACATCAGATGGAAAGACTATGGCTTGACCTTCAAAAACATCAACCGCCAATGGGAAATATTATGCCCATTTTCTTGACCAAACCGTCAAAAAACTAGAAAGGGATGATGAGGTTTAAAATATGAATTGAAACATTTTTTTCGCTTGATTTAGGTTTTTCAGTTTCCCCGTTTCCAAATCTTCAGAAATTTGCAGATAAAAAAGTTTTTAAATCTTCTAGAAATTTTACTTTAAATATAAAATCCAATTAATGGAGAAACGACGTTGGATAAAATATTTTGAAACTGAGATAACGAACATTCAGAAATAAATTTAAGTATTTTATAATAAGTGATGTATAAACAGATAAGAATAATATATATTATGATTAAAAACCAAAACTGAAAAACAAAAGATCTATGGGAAAGATCAAGTATATGATAAACATTTATATTATTTTATAAAAATGTAGAAAACTTACGATCAACGTGACATTTTCTTAGTTTACTAGCATCTTCTCCATGGCACAAAGAATACAGATTTCTGCCAGTCAGTTCTTCGGGTGTATAGTCAAGGAGATCCAGCACCCGGGGTTCGCAGTGCGCTATTTTAAAGTCAAAGTTTATTCTAGTCACAAACATGTCCGATTCAAGTCTTATTTCGTGTACACTAGGGGGTGGAAGAGCTATGGCAAGGGCAACCATACCTAAAAGGGGCGGTTGCGATTTCCTTGTGTGCGAAAAGGTGTACTGCGGCCTTAACCTGCTTAAGATTAAGACAACCTGTAAAAGAAATCATTCATACACTCATATTCTGAAACTATTACATATACATTACATAGTGTATATATACTACTTAACCAATAAAAAAATAATTCTTTTCGTCTGTTCTTGCTACAAAGGAATTTGATAATATTACACATCATTAAGTTAAAAATATATGTAAAAGTTATGTAGCCCCATAGTAAACCTAAAATTGTTAAAATATTTCCCAAAAAACTTACCTGCCAGCATTGATGATCCACCTAAATTTAAAAAATGGCAACTCATTAAATTTAAGCATTAACAACATAAGTCATCTGAAATATTTTAAAATATACTACTAAAGCTTTATGCTTTTCAATCTGGCCATGTGATAAATAACCATCTGCATTGCCTTAAAACTAGTCGAAAAGTCTATCTAATATAATAGACCACTGGTTCTTATTCTTGTTCACTTCCATAAAGAATTTGGCACAGTGGAAACAGTCATTATCTTAAAAAAGCACCACCAGAGTATTATTTGAAATATATTCAAAGATGCAACAACAACTGTAACCCTTAATTTCATGAATGAGTTAAAGACATTGGCAGAGAGCTGCGCAGGGAGATATTTTGTCGACAATTACATTATTTATAATAGTCATAGAGTACGCATTTAAAGGGTTTAAGACTATCAGAGGGCATGAGTATGGAGTGGGCCTTAAAGGGTTATCAACATCGATTGGCAGAAACTAAATTACCTCTGATATGCTGATGAAACTATTCTCATAACAGATAATTTAGGAGAAGTTACAGCAAAAATGGAGATATGTGGGACATGTTGCAAGAATGAAAGACGTCAGGTGGAAGATATAACTGAAGCACTAAAGAAAGCGAAAAACAACAAAGCAGCAGGACCAGAGAATATAAAGGAACTGCTGAAATATGGATGCGCAAGGATCGTATCATTTGGATGAGTATTGTTCAATAAAATCGACGCAGGAGAGGAGATGGCAGAGGAGTGGGATCTATTATACATGTCCTCCAATTGAAAAAATGAAGGACATCTAGTGGAAATGGACATCATGGAAATGGTAATGTTTAACACAAATAACTATAGAGTGATTAGAGTAATGACTTCAATGGCAGGAATTTTTTCACAGTAATAAAAGAAATAATAAAACAACACATGGGCCATTATAGCAAAGAACAAACCAGATTCCGAAAAGCAAGATCATGTCTGGATAATATATTCATCATGAGATAGACGATAGAAAAGAACAAAGAGAAAAATATTAGAACACAGAGGACCTTTATCGACTTAGAAAAAACATATGGGAGTGTGCCTAGGAAACACCTATGGAAAGCAATGAGAAAAACGCACATTATAGAGAAATGGGTTAACAGAACACAAAGTTATTTTAGCACAACACAGGAAGGATATGGAATATATGATAAGAAAATTAAAGATAGAATTTAAGCTATGGGGACTCAAGATAAATATGTGTAAGACTGAATACTTATGTATTTGATCCGAGGTTGCAGATTTGAACTTAAGTTTAGAAGAAGACACTTTTAAGACTTATAAGACTTTTAAATATTTAGGGTCAATGATAAGCCGAAATGGTGCTTGTACGAAAGATATAGACATCAAAATGGCAAGGGGAAAACAAACCATGAAAGCACTCTATGGAGAGCTTTGGAACAACACTTACCAAAGGAGACAAAAAAAAAGATCTTTCCGAGCATGTTGATGGATATTGAATATTCAAGCGGATGTATGGCCAATGACAACCATCAAATCACTAGAGTATATAGAATAAGAACAGGGCAAATATCAAACAGAATAAAAGTAGAATGTTTACTTACAAAAAAGTTGGAAAACATAGACCTGCAGTTATATGGACATGTAAAAAGAAGGGCAGAGTACATGTAGCCGAAAAGAATATGGTACTAGGACCCGCCAGCAAAAAGACGGAGGAAAAGACTTGCTACAAAATGGAAAACATTACATAGGAATTGCTATGACAGATACCTCAGGTAAGGTGAGTGGAAAAATAGAGTGAAGTGAAAGAAGAAAACAATGCACTCATAATGGTAAAGCCGAAGATGAAGAAGAAGAAGACATAAAAAGTTATTACAAATGTCATGAGTTAAATATTGTACTACATAAGTTTGGGATTTTGTCTACCGTCAAGACACACTGTTATTTTTGTTATTTTTCAATTTTCTTTAAATCGTAGCATGCATCGAGTTGGCCTCCATTTGTCTTTGGCTATTTTTGACACTTCCGACAAATTGTAATTTTTTTTCTCTACTGCTAATTTTAATAGAGAATTTGAACGAAAGGTGTTAGTTAGGTTACTTGTGTCAGTAATAAAGACAATTAAAATAATACTTGCGAACTCACTAGAACTTATATCACCTTTGTTTTTCATTCAAATTATATAAAGTTTTGAGCCCCACAAACAGATATTCATCTTTTTTTGGTGCTAAAATACTTTGGTTCTTGTCATCGAATGTAGTTAAAAATAGTTTCCTCTGGACAACACCTATCAGTAGAGTCGTTAACGTTGGGACATTAAAGTCTACATTGGCTCAAGATACAGTTTGGTTGTCCTGGCCCCACTATAGTGAGACTCTGATTTCGACAGGGTCTTAAAAATAACTATAAATTCTATTTTCATTCATCGAAAATGCAAGTCCAGGAAACCTTTGGTTTAAATATTAATTTTTTCAGTAATAACCACAAAGACAACAACAAATTGTTACAAAAACATATTTCTACTAGCAATGTAGTGCTATATAATTTGTATCAAAACCTTACACCTCAAAACAAGAGGAGAAATTGGTTTTATAACAGTAATAAAAACTATTGGAGATACAGGACTTTCGCATTACGTAGGTACAGCCTTTTTTCAACAAGTGATACCAAAAGGTCAAATTTACAAAAATATGGAATTACAAGGTTTTCTCATGAATGTATGGTTTTCGTAAGTAATCTTTGGTTGTAAATTAAACTTGAATTAAGGCTTTTATTCAAACTTTGCATATATTCATAATTGTGTATCTTATTTAAATTAGTTATAGTTATTGTAGTTATTTACCCAAACCCTTACCAACGAATTTCCAAATTTGTCTCGTTTTGGAAATTTCTTAAAAACTCTCTATCTGATCGTGGGACTTACCCTATAACCTGAGGATTTGAAGTGACAACCTCTTTTAGTTAACGTCGACTTCATTCTGACGCAAAACGCTCTGTCTAGTCCCTTATAGGGTGGGTTGGAACCTAACGTCATTTGCGTGGACACTGTAACAAAAAGAAAAGATAATTTAAGGGACGGCTATTGTAAAAACGGCGGAAATAATCATATATTAGCAGGGCTGCGTAATGAGGGGTTACGCAGTTTAGGAGATACGTTAATTTTATCAAGGCCTCGTAATCTTCAGATTGGGATTTTAATATAACATTCGCTGTTCTTTCTTTCATTTTAACTTTTTGTAAATTTGGATTTTTTAATAAAAATTCATATTAAACTATTTATTGAATCAAAAACACTTTTTATAATTTCCGCTGCACGCATTTTTTCTGAATGTTTTTCTGAACCACATTTCTTAGGGGGTATACTACTGTACACCCAGATAATGTAGCTAAAGAAGGAAGCGCTATCATGATTATATTGATAATGTAAATATAAAATCAAAAATATTGTCCTCCTAGATACTGCATTAAGAGAGAACAATTTAAAGAGTTTATGAACAATTTAGGAAAAAGACACTTCATCGGTGACTTTAATGCAAAGAATACCCACTGAGGCTCTAGCCAACTACAACTAAAGGAAAAGAACTATTATCAGCTGTTAAAAAACAAAAGTGTGAAGTAATATCTACTGGTAGACCAACATACTAGCCTGCCGATGGGAACAAAATTCCAGACCTGATAGATTTCTTTATTTACAAAAATATCTCAGCTAACTATGTATTTGGATATTAATGATGGTTGAAACATGAACTCTGATCACTCTTATCAGTGATCGAAAAAGAGTTCAGTTTAAATTTCAAAAATAAAATGTAATCGAAATCCAAACAAAAACGAAAGAAATAGGATAGTAAATCCATGCAGGCAGCTGTTACTGCAGTTAAAAATAAAGAAATGGGGTACTTGCGAGCTTCAAAAACTTTTAAAGTACCCAAGAGCACGTTGAAATACTACGTAAAAAATACAATAAGGTCACCTGAAGAACTTATTTAAACCAATATGGGACGTCCACCAGTGTTTTCCAAATAAATTGAAGCGGATCTTCTCATATTAGGAGGTTACAAATGGTTGCGTTCATTTTTAAAGAGGTATCCTGAACTAACGTTTAGGAGACCACAGGCTTTATCAACTGCCAGAATTAAAGTATACACAGAAGAAATCGTAAATTATTTTTTTGAAATTTTGGAACCTGTGATGGAGAAAATAAAATATTATCCCTGTCGAATCTATAATGTAAATGAGACAGGTATAACGTCTGTACAATCAAAGCATACCAAAATAATCACCTTAAAAGGTAAAAAGTAGGTAGTGGCCGTTATTTCTGCTGAAAGAGGATCACTAGTGACTATGGTTACCTGTATAAATGCGACTGGTAGTTTTGTGCCCTCTATGGTCATATTTTCCCAAAAAATATGAAGGCAGAATTGCTCAAAGGCGCTCCACCAGGGACAAAAGCTGCCTGCCATGTATCTGGCTGGATTCAGAGTCACATTTTCACCAATTGGTTACAACATTTTATTAGCCACGTTAAACCAAGTGAAGCTGATCCAGTTGTATTAATATTGGATGGTCACTTCTCCCACACGCGTAACATTGTCTTGATAAATCTGGCGCGTCAAAACTAAGTAGATTTTTTATGAAGCGCTCAACACATACGCAAATAAAGTGAAGTATGAAGAATTGACTTTTAAACAGGAAAAAGGAAGGGATGAGTACGATCTCCTACTGTCAAATAATCAGGGACTAAATCAATTTAAAATGGATTGTTTATTTGCTGATTAAAAGGAGTCTGATTTGAAATTTCTTTGTATGACTGAGACGTGGTCAGCTAATGACGAGGTGATTTATTATAATTTTCCAAATTTTAAAATTGTAAATTCTTTTAGTAGATCCCAATATAAATGTGGTGGCGTTGCAGTTTGGGCAAGGGATGGTATGAAGGTTAATTCCATTTTACTCGATCAGTACTGTGTTGAAAAAGACATTGATGTATGTGGGATGAAGTGGCATTATAAATCAAATCAACACACAATTTTAGTTTGCTACAGATCTCCTAAAGGTAAATTTGATGTATTTTATGAAAAACTTAACCTTATTTTAAATTCAAATTTTAAACCAAATCAATTCATATTTTTAACAGGCGATTTTAATGTAAATTCCATGACACTAAATAATTCACACAGATTTTCTGGTCTTCTAGCATCTTATGGTTTGTCACCCAGGAACTTTACACCTACAAGGTCGACTTCCACATGCGGAAATATTTTGGATCAGATATATACAAATTGTGATGATTGTGTAGGTACTGTAAATGTAAATACTGAATCGGATCACGATATATTCCTTTTAAGATTGAATTTTATTAATCTAACTATGACAACAGTTCGAAATACTTTCAGAGTAACACATGAAGGCGCTATAGATGCATTCAACAATCTCTTGAGTAAAGAAACATGGCAAGATGTTTATCATGCAACTGATGTTGAGAGTAAATATAATGCCTTTCATGATAAATTACAGTTCTATTTCAATATTAGTTGTCCTATTAGAGAAACCAAACATTACCAAAACAAAAAAAATACATGGGTCACCCAAGAAGTAAAATCTTCTTCAGATAGTCTGAAGGATTTATATATATATTGAGTAAGACTTACCCTGAGCTAAAAACTCTACATAGACAAAAAAAATATCAGCACAAAATTCTTGTTGAGGCCACAAAGGGTCAGTTTTATTTTAACAAAATCTCTGAATCCTCTAACAAAAACAAAACCACATGGGCTGTTATAAATCAACTTAATGGAAAACAAAAAAAGCACAAAAATATCTGTCTAAAAATAGATGATACTAGGATTACAGATTCAGATACAATATCAAACAAATTTAATGATTACTTTATATATGCACCAGTGGATATAATTAGTAAAATAATTAAACCAAATTTAAATTTTCAGCATTCCAATGATTTTGTTCAAAGTAGCTTGTTCCTATCTTATGTAACAGAGGAAGATGTCTTAGATATAATAAAATATAAAATTAAAAACAAAGCATTGTGTGGTTTTGATGAAATATCAGGTGTAGTAATTAAGAAAATTGCGTCTCAAATTTTGACACCACTGGCTCATATTATAAATGCTTCTTCCAATACTGGTATTTTTCCCAATATGCTGAAAACTTCTATCATTTCACCGGTATTAAAACAAGGTGATCCTGAATTAATGTCAAATTTTCGACCATTGTCTGTTCCATCTGTGATATCTAAGATTATTGAATATGCAATGCTAAAACAACTTTTATTATTTTTAGACATCAACCAAATTATCACAAAGCATCAACATGGATTTCGAAATAAATTTTCTACTTCCACAGCCATTAACAGTTTTTATGAGGAAGTCTTACTCTCAATTGAGAACAGTGAAAATCCAACTGCCATTTTTTGTGATCTCAGTCGTGCATTTGATTGTGTGTAACACGATGTGCTCCTCGATAGATTGTACAGATATGGTGTTAGGGGAGTTGCCCATAGTTGGTTTAGTTCCCATCCGAAAGACCGGCACCTAATAGTTAAAGTGAAAAATAACTTCAAGATTTCAATGTCTGATCCGATTATTAATAAGAATGGAGTACCACAGGGCTCAATATTGGGCCCTATATTATTTATTTTGTATATTAATGAACTACCACATGTAATGCCTGATGCATTTGTATCAGTTTATGCGGATGACTCAATAATGCTATATCGCGATAAAGACATAAATTTTTTACAAGATAAAATAACACTCACTGAAGACCTTCTCTGATTGGTCCAGTAATCAGTCGCTCCTGTTCAATGTTCACAAAACTAAATTTTTATCATTTACACCACGTTCAAATTCTACTAAACCTGATTTAAGTATTTCCATCAATGGTGAGGATATTTTGAGTTGTAGTGATGTGAAGTTTTTAGGAGTGACTTTTGACTCTCATTTATCTTTTAAGACTCATTGTTGGAATGTATGTAAAAAACTCAATTCTAAATGTTATCAATTGAGAAATTTGGGTAGAAAACTTAGTCTGCAACACCTTCGTCTTTTTTATTTTGCTGAGGTACAATCGACAATAAGTTACGGTATAACTGTCTGGGGTGGTTCTTCTAGTGTAAAGGACGTTTTCAAGGCCCAAAAGCGTATTGTGAGATGTATAGCAGGTGTTCCGTATGGTTGGTCTTGTAAAAACCTATTTAGAGATTTGAATATATTAACAGTGTAAGGAATTTACATTTTGGAATTATTGATACTAATTCATAAAAATAAAAGAACTTTTTTATGTAACAGTGATTTTCACTCACACAACATAAGAAGTAAGAGACAGTTTGTAGTACCCTATCGACATTTAGAAATAAGCAGGAAGTCATCTACTATCTGTGGTTTACTACTGTATAATCAACTTCCTCAAAAATTTAAAAACATTAATTCAACTACAGCTTTTAAAAACCAAGTCAAAGAGTACCTAGTAATCATGTGTCCTTATACATTAGGTGAATATTATGAGGGTGTATCTGTGAATGCCTAAGCTGCAACATATCCAAATTTATTAATATTTTAATTATATGTCTATATTGTACGTTTTTTAAGTATTTTAATGTTTTAAATATTTTTAGTATATTGTTTCCATTTTTTGTACTATTTAATATTTATAATTTTAGTTTTGACTTGCTGTAAACCTAGTTGTAACTTGCAGTCAAATAAACTATCTATCTATCTATCTATCTTTACAATTAAAGAAAGAAAGCTACAGTATCTCGGACATGTGATGCGGGGCGATAAGTATGGCATCCTGCGACTCATAATGCAAGGAAAAATAGATGGCAGAAGAAGCATCGGAAGAAGACGAATTTCATGGCTGAAGAACCTGAGAGAATGGTTTGGATGCAGCTCAAAACAACTATTTAGAGCTACTGCCTCAAAAATTAAGATAGCTATGATGATTGCCAACCTCCGTAGCGGA